CGAATTTCTCGACAAGAAAGTCCGGAGTTCATCACTCTCACAGGCCACTGGAATAGCAACGACACCCTGGACGAAAATGAGTAAAGGAGGCGCGACAAGAAGTGTTAAAGCTTAACCTGTAGATATCTTTCCAATGCCGTCTTCCTTGTATCCACAAAGCTTCCAGTCAACGAGGTCACTAATCGCTTTCCAGGGAAATCCAAGTTGCGGACGAGGGCATATCGATCACGAAGCTTGTTGTGTGTATTGAGAAACTCGTTGTAACGTCTTGCAACTACCCATCCCGAGGCGAAGCTGCCATCCGGTGCAAGCTGCTGTACTTCGATTAGATATCGAACGACGGCCTTTCCGCCTTCGTCACCAACGGTGCTGCTAGCGATGGAGACCTTTGTGCGGTCCGAGTACAAACGACTGGCTGATTCTTGTTGTTCGTACTGGAGTTTCTGGAATTTGAGTTGGCGCAGTTCTCGAGTCATAGACGACTTGGAACGTTTGAGCAGCCGAAGTTCCTGTGTATCGCCTGTGAGCTCTGCTTTCCGGATCAGGCTATCTAACATGGCGTCTTGGGCTTGAAGTCGCGAGATATGGTCTCCAAGGCGGTCGATTTCGTGCGAGAGTTGTAGGTCCCCCGGAGCAGGAAGGTGATAAGATCCTTGCAAGTCACCAACGGAATCTTCCACGCCATTGTCTTCGTTATTGTCTTCGCCGGGGGAGCTATCATAAGCAGCCTCTGAGAACATGACGGCACGCCTTGATGCTGAAGTTTTACGCCTATGTTTTCCTTCCGTGAACGAGCTACTGGATGGTTCTTCTTGGTCCAAGGCGATTATATCGGTCAAAGCGGCCTGAATTGCTGCCATTTGCTGTTCTTCCTTCCGCTGGAGGGCATCCTCTGGATCGTCGAACAACGGCGCACGAGCCGAGTCAGAGTCCATATCGATTGGCGACATGAGTACTTCGATACTGGACACAGGTGGACGAGACGGAGAAGCCCCAGAGGAGCTCGCACTCTGTAGGGACAGAGTTGACGAAGCGCTAGCTGTCCGTTGGAACTTTTTCTGAGACTTTGTAGGGAGATTGACCTGGGATCCTTTCGCGCCTCTTGGTGTTGGACTTTGGGGTGACGCTGGTCGAGGGGATGAAGAGCGTAGCCGCGCGTGAGCGTCAGCTTGGAAGACACTCGTGTCCTTGAGTTCTGTGTCTCCAACCGCGCGGAACCAAAGCTCGGATCGTTCAAAATCTTCAAAGTCTGTCTCCATTGATTTTTCGATCTGACGCTGTGCTAGGAGTACACTGCGTCGAATTTTTCTTTGGGCAGCAACTGGTTGAGGCGAGGTGCTTGAGGCAAAACCCTTGATATTATCCACGTACTTCCTGGATACCATAGATAATGCCGGGTGGGGGACAGGACCAGAGAAGTATAGATCATGAATCATGGTGATATCTTCTTGCACTGTTTCCGGAGGGGCTTGGGCATTAATTGGATCGTCCTCGTCTCCGGAGGAATCAGAGTCCACCGATTCGAGAGGGTTCTTGAAACTTTCAACTGTGAGCCAAAATTGGACTAGTAATGACCGTTGACGTCTGTCCATGAATTCCATGAAATATGAAAGGGAGTTGGGGTTTTGAAGGATGTCTCGCAAAGATAGACCGTGATGCGCAATTCCGTCAGCAACGGACATCTGCCTCTAGAGAGGGTTATACGACTGCATGTTGATAAGCCGGGAAAGCGTACCGAAACGTCTTCACCGCCAAGGACCACGATCCTTTCTTCGACCTTTCGCTTTGCGGTATATAACCTATCTAAAAATGCCACGACATCTTCCGTCTTTTCACCGTTGATATAGTCCTCCCGTTCGTGGTTTGCTGGGTTGGAATGAGGCCGATATCGGATATTATTGTTGGTAACTTACCTAGAAGCTGTCTTGTCCTTCGGATTTCACCAACGACATCATTTTTCAGCCTTCTAGCGTCCAATAGGGATGCACAGCGGCCAATGCTCCGCAAGAAAGACTCGAATCGCCGGACGTCGGTTCGGATAGTGATCGTTTCTGTCATTGGAACTATCACTGAGGGCACAGGTGTCTTCACTTGAGATCGCGGTGACTGGGCTTCTAACACATTTCGAACCTTGGTGATCAGCTTCCTAGAAGTGTCGTCGAGGAAATATTTGAATTGTAGATTTAGATATGCTTACTGTTGGTGGATGGCAGCTCCTGCCTAGACAAAAAGTTGAGAAATGTAGCCAATACGACAGATGCGGTACTTACCACCTGGTCAATCGTACGATTCCAAAAGTCAGGATCCGACAACATTTCCATGGCCGGAAACAGCACTTCACAAGCAACTATCTCGCGCGCGACAATTAAAATGGCTCTGCTCCTGGCTTCTTTCGGAGGCAAGAGCAGGGGGAGGATTTTGTCTGCTAGACGCCGAAGGTGCATCTGTTCACTTTGCGTAGTGAATGTTGTAGATAGGTTGTCGATAGCAGGGTGCAGTTTCCTCTTCCCCTTATTGGTATACCTGTTTGCCAGTAATAAGTCCAGCTCCTCCGACTGCGTCAGATGTCGCTCAAGTTCGGCACCGCGCAACGCGTGTTCAGATTGGCGGAATAGTTCAATGTGTTCTGTCACTTTCGGTAGTATACGCTTGACCACAAGCACGGGAAGGTCGACGTCTGAGCTCCTTTCAAGGAGTTGTTTGAGCGTTTCATGTAGGATTGCAGATACAGATGTCGGAAAGGAAGGAGACTGGGACAATTCCTTGTACCAAGTCAGGACGAAATCGCGGACTATTAGAATCAGAACTTCGTTCAGTGCCGTTGACACATGTTGCAATTCTGGGACCAGAGGGGGTAGGAAGTGCGGTGCGTTTTGCGACCATTGTGATCGTGTGAGGACAGCCTGCCAGGCTGCGGGCGTCGAAAACGCGAAAGGCCTGGCAGCCTGGGCAAGAGGCGGAGACTGCTTAAGATCTGTGCGATCGAGGATGTGACCCAAGGAGATAGTGGCAAGCAAGAAAAGCAGGACAACCAAGGGTATCAGGATGGGGGTAGCGAGCAGGAGACCAAGTGGGGAGGAGGCGACACGTGAAACGACAGGGAGAACAACAGCGAGCAGGCCGACCACCACCACGGCCCTAGTGGTGAACAAGTTGCTCATCGATCTACGTGGCGGCCAAGGACATCCCGAGGGCGACGTTGTCACCACCGCGTAGGACGATGGCCAACCAGGCTGGGTTGGGACTACCACGTGCGCCGGAAGGAGATGATCAAGTCAGGGACGAAATGCAATCCTTATGTCCGGCACGGCGCGTATGACAGCCTTCACCTCCCTCTTACCTTCCAACAGCTAGAGGTGTCCGCATCCCCCAACCTCCATGGCCTCAAGTAGACAAATCACCACCGGAGAGGGTTTCATATGCGGTGGGATCGCGGCTTCACTTGCGGTATGCACTACATTCGCAATCGTATTTTTTTCCTGTTCAAATACAGATCCAGGTCACAATATCCAATCCTGCAGAGGTCGCAAAAACACGACTTCAGTTGCAGGGAGAGTTGGCCAAAGGAGGTGGTAAAAAAGTGTACAACAGCGCACTCGATGTCTTTGCAAAAACATGGCGGCATGAAGGCATTCGCGGGTTGCAGAGGGGACTTGGACCAGCAGTAAGTGCTTAAGGTTCATTTCTTTGCCCATCTTACCTTCTGCAGTACGTTTACCAAGTGAGTTGGATGGCCCGAATTCAATGATAGTAAATTTAGCAAAGTTAGATACTGCTGAACGGCTCGAGGCTCGGTGAGTCCCACAAGTCGGGCAAGAGGAATTGGATGTGACCCCGTGTCAAGGATTTTACGAACCGTTTCGTCGTACTCTAAACCAAACGATTGGGTGGGACCCTGCGGAGCAGATTCCTGTGACCTCTATCGCTGCAGGTGCTATCAGTGGTGCAGTAGGAGGTGAGTATATCATTTGGTGGACAAAGGAACACGCGACCTCAATGAGCCATAGCTTCGTTGGGCAACCCCCTCTTTTTAATCAAGGCTCGCATGCAGGTATGCATAATCGGTTCTCTTATACCTCATCACGTCCTCACATTGCACAGGCTTATTCGCCAGCATTACCGGTTGGCGCCCAGCATCATTACAAAAACGGGTTCCACGCGCTTTCCACCATATTCAAGGCCGAGGGAGTTCGGGGTCTAGTGCGTGGCATAGATGCAGCCATACTTCGAACTTCGATGGGCTCATCCGTAAGTTTGCTAAAATTCCCATTGGACGTGATGGTGACTTGTCGAAAAGGTACAACTGCCAAGTTATAACTTCACCAAGAGTCAACTTGTCAAGTATGACATTTTACCCGCTGATAGCACATGGACATTTCTAGCAAGTAGTTCAATATCCGGAATATGTGTGGTAATTGTGTCTTTCTACCTCCTTCCGACGATATCTCACTCCCTCTAGTGCATAGTCATGCAGCCAGCTGATACGGTCTATCAAATTCTGTCGTTCTACTTGGTATAAACTCATTTTGGTCCAGGCCTTGACCCGAATGTATAATCAACCAACAACTCGGTTGCCCGACGGACAGCTAATTGGAGCACTATACAAAAACCCCATCGATTGTTTGTGGAAGACATTACGAGCGGAAGGTCTGCGTGGGTGGTATAAAGGTAACCATTGGTCTTCCTCCCCACATGAAGCGAAGATACTCACACATGGTTTAGGCTCAACAGCACACTTCTTGCGGATTGCACCACATACGTAGGTATCCAGTCCCTTGTGCTAGCCATCTGCTAACTTTCATACAGCATTGTCACTCTCACCGCAAATGACATCATCATCGGCCTCTACAAGAAATTTTGGATTAATAGAGCATAGAGTATTTCGCAAGTATTTATTTCATGTTGTTCTTCGATATCACCCACCACATCGTATAATATAAATATACTTAGACATGACCCTGTTGCAAGCTACCCGCCGACGGTGTTTGTCGGGCAAAAAATGACCCCTATGCGAGTTGAACGCATGACCTTGTGGAGGTTCCATTGGCTGGAATCACACGCTCTACCACTGAGCTAAGGGGTCGAACAAGATGCAAGAAGTCATGAGAGGTGCATTGCAGTGAAATTCTGAAGAATGTTGAGGGTGACATAGCAGTTGGAAGTCGTAAACAAAAATACAGAAATTAGCAGTACATACAAAAAAAATGAATGGATGGGATATGTTATCCTCAGCCACAAATATTGGGATATTGCAGGGCTGTCGGATTGCTAGGAATCCAGCCATATTGAAGGCCAGCCTGATATGCCCACTCGTCCGCAATTTCAGTCTTCCAAGTCCACTGAATCCATCCGTCACCCTGTTCATACGAGATGACTTGAGCCTCCCAAAACTGTCGCAACCATGTCTTATAGCTTGAGCTGAAGGATGAGCCCTTGCCTGTCTGACCAGTGCAACTGCCGATACGACTGGAACCAGGATATGAACCATCGTAGCGAGATCCAACACCCCGCCCATTTAAGTATTTGGCACAGTCTGTCGCCGCAGGGGTCCATTCACCGACAACAACCCACAAGGAGAAGGAAGATAGCATCGACCGTTTGCCGCAGGCCGTTTGGATGTGTTGTTGTTGTGACATCTGATTTTCCTTCAAAGCTGATTAGCCTCGTCAGATGTTGGATCATATCGCGAGATAACATACCCCAACAGAGAATACTTGGTACTGGTGCGTATCCATCATAACGCCCTGGAAGCTTGGACTAGGCATGAAACCGGACCAATAGCTAAAGGGCTGAAATGCATCGTGAATGAGCTCCACCGTATTGCTCTCGCGATCAGAGCCATATGGGTAACTGGGAGAGGTGTGTTAGGTCTAGCGAACCTTCCATAGGACTACTCACCGAATGTTGCCATAACTGTCATACCAATACTGCAAGGACTGAATGAACCTGTTGGAGAACGGAGAAGCGTATACGTACCTGCCTGACGACACTGAGCACGTCACTTCCATCAAAGCCAGCTGGTCTAAAAATGGTCAGCCTTGGGACTATTTTTCCGACTACGGAATAAACTTACTCGTTGAGTGGGGCAATAATAGGAACAACATTTGGGTTATCTTTATACATATTCGCAATTGTCTTGATGATATTGTTGCTTCGCTGAACGTTGGTGTTATTTGTGTGCCAGAGACTAAAGATAAAGTTGATTGGTGCAGATCCAGGGCTTCTCGCGTCGAATACTTACGGATAAGACATCTTTTGACCCGAGTTATCGAAACTTCAGAGGTGTGAGTGCATTCCTGACGTCGCAAAAGAGGGACCCTACCCATTCTGACTACCTGGGACTCCTGAGATGCGACTAGGTTAGCTAAAAAGGGCCAAAGGACAGGTGACTTGCCGTGCAGATCAATGATAACCTTCAACCCATAGGTACCAGCCCACGCAACGGCGTTCTGGAGGTACGGGAGCTGGCCGGTGATGTAGGGCTCGCCAGCGCCAACTTCAAAGGCCCAATACCCGATGGGGATTCGGACATGATTTAAGCTGGAGGTTGGTTAGTTCAAACCCAAATCTGATGAATATTCCCCATACCCCGCAGCTGCGATTTGGGCAAAGTCGGAAGCGGTAATCCAGGTGTCCCAGTGTTGCTTCAAGGTGTTTGCAGCCGTTGTTCGGGACTGGTACTGCCCGAAAGTCCACTCATCGACGATGCGAGAGTCACCAGTGTTATCAAACAAGGAGGGCGTGATCCATGGCTACAGGCCGGGATTAGAGAGTGGGCTATGGATGCACGGACTTTGCATACCTCAAGAACCAGCCAACCACCAAGGTTAACACCGCGAACTTTCTGCGACCCGTAAGGGAAGCCTGGAGAAAATGCCGAGACAGTAGCGGAAAGGAGTGACCCGGCGAGGGCGGCGAGAACGGGGAGACGATGGCCCAGCATTGGAAGGGGGAAAGAGGACGAGGGACAGGGGGCATACTAAGCGCTTAAGTAGTTTTGGATTTAGGTGGAACTGATCCTCATCCATGGCTTGGAGAATAGGGGGCCGATATAGCTCTTTAGTTGGAGGTCACCCGTCACGCCCGAGTGGTACTTCTTCATGATGATCGGCATCCCACTGTGGATAACTGCGATGTAGTTACCTACGTCGGTTGATTCAACTCCCTAAACCTTGAATAATGTCGTCATCTACTGACCTCTGCTCTAACCTGGGTAACCAACGTGTAACCTAGTTCTAAGTTTCCCCTGGTTCTCTCTTGACCGGTAAAGAACCGGAGAAAAATTGGGGACATATGATCAACGCTGCACACCAAGGGCGAAAATAAGCTTTCGCGTCTCGAGCAGCGAGCACCCAAACAAGATGAAGTTCTTCCGATCAGGAGCGGACGGGCGCTTCTTTGCCGCGTCAGAAGGCGGGTGGAAATTGTAGAAGCTCTCAGCATAACGGGTAGTACCTAGACAGGAATCAGTATAGATCAGGGACATGTGATTCGCCCCACCTTATGCCAACAGAAAATTAAAAGGATTAAGAGGCGCACCGCGTGGTGAGCGCCCGGTAGCTATTCTTGAAGTCCCAGCTTGGAACAACCTCGAAGTGTTAAACTGCCCCCCACAGGCTAGGCAAAAGGTCGCTCGTTCCTGTTCGTGTGTTCTGCAATATTTCCCATGTAATCCTCGTCGCCTGCGAGCCAAGCTTAGGTCTATATCGCCACGAGGTGTTGTGCTGGGTTGATTCAAGTTGTCTCGGTTATTCTTCGCACTATTACTCGGCGAGTGAGTCGTTTGCAGTGAATGATGAACGCACCCCTCTTTGAGATGGCGGTCACACCCGCGCATTTAGAACCGAACAACATGGCACAGCCCAGACGGATCAAACGTGCGATGGGTAGCCATTGAAACTACAGCCATGGGGGATGTGAATGGATGTTGAGTAAGATGCGAGAGCACAGGTTCAAGACATTGAAAGCAGTGAGTTGCAAGCGGACGGTAACCTCAACACCCCGACGGCAAATACCGAACCCTGACCCCTAGCTGCTTAAAGTGCTTCAGCTGAGGCGGCTGAACACCATTCAAGTCACATCCCTGATCATGACCATCGATACCACCAATGCTCGCTATCTGGCCGCTGGTCAAGGCCATTTACTCCATTTCTTTCCAAAGCTCACAGAGTCCGAGCAGTCCCAACTGCTCACCCAACTCGATGCTCTCGATATAGAACGCGTAAATCGTATTTACGCGAAGGCTGTCTCAGGCGAGCAGGAACTCACGAATACAAGTGCGGAAGCAGGAATTGAGCCTCTTCCAAAGGACTCTTCCGACTCTGTAGGAAAGCACGATGCAGAATGGCGGAAGATTGGGTTAGAAGCCATCGCCCGCGGAGAAGTCGGTGTCCTCCTTATGGCTGGCGGTCAAGGAACGCGGCTTGGCAGCAGTGCACCGAAAGGTTGCTACGACATCGGCTTACCCTCGCACAAGTCACTTTTCCAATACCAAGCCGAACGCATTGCGCGTTTGCAGACTGTCGCAGAACAAGAAGCCGGCAAGCCATCTGGAGGTGTCGTCATTCCCTGGTATGTCATGACCAGTGGTCCTACGCGCGCGGAGACAGAGGCATTCTTCCAAAAACACAAATACTTTGGCTTGAACCCCAAAAACGTCATCCTTTTCGAACAAGGTGCTTCGTCATATGCTGTATGTCGCCAGCCTTATGCTTATTTTCGCTTCGAATCCAGGTACATTACCGTGCTTGACAATGGAAGGCAAAGTGCTCCTAGATACGCCATCGCATGTCGCTGTCGCCCCTGATGGCAATGGGGGGTTATATGCTGCCACCCGTACACCCCTGTCCCCGGAAGACAAGTCAAGAACCGTTCTTTCTGACCTTGACAAACGCGGAGTCCTTTACGTCCACGCGTATTGCGTTGACAATTGCCTTGTACGCGTCGCAGATCCCGTCTTCCTCGGATACAGCATCCAAAAGCAAGCCGATTGCGCGGCCAAAGTCGTCCCTAAGACCCACCCAACAGAGTCTGTAGGCGTGGTAGCCCGTCGTGGAAAGAAATTCAGCGTCGTTGAATACTCGGAGATTTCGAGCGAGCAAGCTCAGCGCAAAGATCCCGAAACCGGCGAGCTGACTTTTAGAGCTGGGAATATCGCAAATCACTTCTATACCACCCAATTCCTCAAGCAGGTTGAGGCATTCGAAGACCAACTTGCCTTTCACATTGCGAGGAAGAAGATACCCCACGTTGACATATTATCCGGGGATGTGGTGAAACCCATCAAACCCAACGGAATGAAACTCGAAATGTTCGTGTTTGATGTTTTCCCGTTCACCGAACATTTTGCTGTTTTGGAAGTCGTCCGAAATGAAGAGTTTAGTCCATTGAAAAACGCCCCGGGAACAGGTGCTGATGATCCAGAGACGAGTCGACGTGATCTCTTAAACCAGCATCGGCGATTCTTGGAGAGCGCTGGAGCTACAGTGGCAGATGGCGTAGAAATTGAAATCTCGCCACTTGTGAGCTACGCAGGAGAAGGTCTCGCAGCAGTCAAGGGCAAGAAGTTTACTAAATCGGGGCTCGTGGAGAGTGCAGAAGAATTGGACGCTTTGGTGTAGACAAAGTTGAAGTAGAATCTTCCCTTGTATTATGATGGACTCACACGTATTACTCAATTACTCGTGGAATGCAATGCAAATGTAATCTTTGCAACTTGGTATCTCAATTGACAGCTATTTCGTTGTTTCCTTTCCTGCCTCGTGGTACTTTACGTTCAAGTTCTTCCCGGAGGGATGTAAATAGTCGTTGCGTCCGTTCAGCGTTCGGCTTAGGCGTCTACATCAGCGTCAACAGGTTAGAACACTCACGAGGATGATCTCACCTCTTTACAATACGCAATGAGTTTATCCACCAGCATTGTCTGACCATTCTGCGCATCCTCTAATTCTTTCTTCACCTGACTTTTCTGAGGAAGTGCCCTCAGGTCTAGCCGCATGCTGAGGTTATGTGTGAACCTACCTCTTCCTCTAGTTTTTCGGCTCGAACCCTTTCCCCTTCGGCCAGCTGCTTTTGTTCAGCAGC